TCATTACTCATTTGATGATGGTTGGAAGATTTTCTGTGGTTTACAGAAAGTAGAAAAGCACAAGACTTAACAAAGGGTTTTAACAAAAAAGATTAAAGATATGGTATCAAAACAGACGAGAGGAGGATGACATCAGACCTCATCCAAAACCCACCGATTGTCATCAGACATCAACTTCCATTGACTTTAGTGGACTTTGAATCAGAAATGTATTTTTTTCTCAAAACAAACAAATTTCTACTGCTGCTAACCAAGTTTTTATAACATTTCTAAATTACGTGTCTGGTACATTAACTTCCGTTCATGGCTGGAGGAGCAGATCTCTCCTCAAAACAGTAATGGCCACCAGATCTGAATCAGCCAAATTTTCCCTGAAGCAGAAAGGGCACTTTCTGCTCATCCAGTAGATGCCTTGTGCCGACTCTGTCCTCAACCACTTGTGAGACATTTCGCTGATGTTTTCGGTTAGTCACCAAAAATACTGGCAAATAGGCAAAACAGATGAATCAAAAATATATGTACAGAGGACAATGGAAAATGAAATGAAAGGCCCCTCAATAAAACAACAACAACAGACAAAAATAAGCACCTCTAGAGCTAAAGCATGTAATTAATTGTTTAATCTAGAATTGCTCTCTTATAGTTACGTTTGTTAGCAGAAAATGCTCCAGCCTGGGCCCTCATCTCACATACTGAAGGGTGACACTCCAGCTGGGTAAGACTTCTGCTCCCTGCCCCGAGGTGAACTTGCCTTTCCCGATCCTTGAGGGAGCTTTGAAGGCACTGGCAAGATGGCGCTTGTGACAGTGCTGAGAACAGACAGACGTATCTGAAGGACTCCATCTGCTCCAAGGGCCTCCTGTTAAACTGTAACAAGGATCCAGCAAGTTTACACAGATGCCAATATAGAAAATGGTGATCTTTGAACAGGCCACTAGTTAAAAAGTAAATCTGATCTTTTGAATTTTTGAGATTTTTATGACAAAAATCTAGGCCAGACTGATCCAGCTGGGCAGTGGGTGAAGTCCTCCACTGCCGTTTTGCTTCTAAAATTAGGTTCACCTGCTTGCTTTAAAATGTTAATCCCAGCTCACCCCAACCCTTGCCAGGGAGCTGTGGTGAAGAAAGTTGCAATGAATCCTCTCACATCCCCTGCTTTAGGAGGTCAACATTGCATGCTGATGGAAAAGGCTGAAGGACTTGCTTGAGATGTGGAGGACCCTAAAGGATCTCTAAGGGAACCCCTACAAGCTCCAAGGCACCTAAATCCCATCCCTGAGTGGTTTTGCGTTTTGCTCCGTGTAAGACGCAGCACCACAGAGCCTCTCAGCTGTACTCATCCCTCTGGACGGGAATCTCAGACAAAGACAGGTCATCTTAGGGTTTCTAGGTGGTTTGCCCCTCTGTCTACCTCCAACCCCACTGCAGGAATGATGACTGGAAAAATCGCTTGGTTTTACTCACCAGTAATACCTATGTTCCTAAGAAATGAAGGAAGTCGGGGAAGAGATCATCTCTCTCTTCAACATAACTATGTGACTTCTTACTCCAGCAGCTCAAGAGACATCACTGATGGATAAAGAAATGTAACAACATCTTTGGTGTGCGCTCCTCTCCCTACCCTCTACCCAACATCCACAGGCACTGCAAAACAGGGGCCAGCCTTGGCTGCCCCGGGAAGATGTCCACAGCTTGTGGCCTCACGCAGCCCAGCACCAGCTACTCCTGAACTTGCAGCTTTGGTGAGCTTGTTGCTGTGCTTTTGTACAGATCACACGGGACTTCTTGCCACAAAGACCCGGGAGGCTTTGCCAGGATGATCGGAGCTGCCCATGGCCTCGGCTGCAGACTGCACAAGTCACACAGAAAGAAATAGAAAGAGTAAAGGGGTTTTATCAGGTTGCCCAGTTGCTAGGCAGGAAAGAATGTGCAGCTCAGTTATTTGGCTTGTGGGCACCAAGGCACGTGTGCCAGTGGCATCGCAAAGGAGCCGCCTTATCCTGGCAAGGTGGGGGCAGTTCAGCAGCTCTCTCCATCTCCGTATGCCCAGGCTGACCTTCGGGTGCCCTTCCTGGGGTGTCTGACACTTTTTCTTTTTTTTTCCCACCTTTTCTATGAAATGTTCCCATTTTAGCAACACCAGATTTCCTCCTTCTACCACCACTGTATGTCCTAACCACATACCTTTATTTCTCTTTCCTATCCTGGCAATCCTCCTTTTCCCACCATGTATTTCTCCTCCTATTTTCTCTCCTTTGCCACTGCTCTTCCAACTCATTTCTAGCTCATACCCAAGTCTGCATGTACTCTTCCTCCTCAGACACTCACACCACCATCCATCTCCTGTCTAAGGAATTTCTCTGCAGTTTTTCAGTCCAGATCATCTTCTCTCCTCCCCTGGTGATTTCTGCAGACCAGTCAACTTCTATCCCAACCATCCTTTCTCAATCCCTCCTGTTTTTCTCTTCCAGACCGTTAGTGTCCCCGTTTGCAGACTAGCCTTATGCTCCTGATGTCAGCTGGGCTCTCGCTCAGGTTTCCCCCAGAGTTTCCATCCTAAATACTCAAGCAATTCTACCTTAGAAACTAGTACAGTCCGTAAGATACTGCATTTCCATTTTCTCTCCCCCAGCCCTGCGGGATGTGTCGGCTGCAATCCGGCTGTAGCAACCTAAGCCAGCACTCCTCAAACTGCTCACAGGCCACGCTCCTGCGACGATTTCCCTCCCACGAGGCGCGATGCAGAGACCCTCAGGGACAACCTTTTCCTCCGCAGCCACCGGTGTGAGGAGCACCAGGAGCCTGGGTGCAGGAGCGGGCTCGGGTCAGCCTGCAGGGGCTCCAGCCCTGTCGAGACTCGTGGCCCTCTGCGTTCACCTGGAAAGGAGGGAAAACGGGACTGGCTGCGCGAACAAAATGCTTCTCCGTCAACTGTAAACTAGTGCTGAAAAACTAGAAAGTTGACAAGAATTAGCCTCCTTGTACCTTTTAAGTTTCAGACACGGAGATAACCTAGCCCTGTGAGATACATATTTTCTCGCTATCAGTAGATTATATACTAAATACCTCTCAGCGTGCTGTTTTGTGATTATATAACCCCAAGCAGCCCTGTCTGTGAAGCATTTTTGAAGTGCATTGCAGAATGCAGCACGATGGTCTTAAGACAGGATCGTGCTGCTTCTAAACCAAAGCTGTCCTTAAGTTCAAAGTGCAAGGATAGAAGCCTGAAAATTTTCCTGTCATCTGTACCATGCTCACCTCCCAGGTTCGATTCAGAGAAGTGACTGTGCAGGAGTCACTTCTCCCCCTTCCTTCTTCCCCTGACACTCCTGTGCTGTTGAGACCTAAAAAGGTGGAGGTTTGGGGTGAGAACCGGCCCTGGCTCTGCCCTTCCCTCTCCAAAGCTGCAGGGTCCACTGGTGGAGACCGGTGCTATTCAGCACCTCAGCCACTACAGGACATCTTGATCCCGAAATGTGTGAGCTAAACCGCCCCCTGACTCGCCTGGGGAATGAAGGCAGAAGCCTGGATGCCCACCTGGCTCTTGCTCACCAAGGAAGCAGTTACTAGAAAGCAGCTGAGGAAACAAGAAACATCCTCAAAGTGTAAAGAACTGCTTTAATTCACCACTAGGTAAGCTCCTCTTTTAAAATGGAGATAGATGGGGGGAAAGGGCAAATTTCAGAGGGGAACTCCTGTTCTGCTTGCGCACCAGAGCACCACGAGGTACAGGAGGTGGTGCAGGAGCCAGACCCAGGCCAGGCAGATCTGCACGTGTCACAGCGTCACGGAAGGGCTGAGATTGAAAGGCACCTCTAGCGATCACCTAGTCCAATCCCCCTGCTCCAGCAGGGACACCCAGAGCACAGGACACAGGGTGGAATCCAGGTGGGTTTGGAAGATCTCCAGAGAAGGAGACTCCACAACCTCTCTGGGCAGCCTGTTCCAGGGCTCTGCCACCCTCACAGTCAAGAAGCACTTAAAAAGGCTTCTATTTTCCTCACGGCGATGCCCGCAGTGAGGTCGACCAGGAAACGAGCAGCGCGGAGGGGAGCACAGCAGGGGCGGCTGAGCGGCAGAGCGGTGCGCGGGGCTGCGCGGGGCGCTGATGCGGCGAGGGGCAGCGCCGGGGCTGCGCGGGGCG